CACACACACACACACACACACACACACACACACACACACACACACACGCACACACACACACACACACACACGGAGTGAATCATAAAACATAAAGTCTTTTTCAGCTGCAGCTCGCATCAGACCAGAAAGTCTCACCTACCTTTACAGACAGAGAGGACTGCAGTCACAAGAAATATAACTTCCAGGGCAGACATTCTCTCCTCCGCTGATCCAGACCTCACAGAAAGTCTTGATTTGAAGAAAATGAGAGAAAATAGAAAAATCTCAGGCTGCAGCGCATTTTCTGTGCAACTAACAGGAACTGAAGCAAAGGCTGAAGTCAACAGGACGCCTTACCCAACTGGAAACAGGCAGAAAAGGGGAAGTGAGGCAACTTGTGGACAGCCTCCTAACACTGCAAGGCTCTCTCTCTCTCTCTCTCTCCTCTCTTTTCTCTCTCTCAGATTACAAAACCCCTCCTGCTACATTTTAAAGACATCAAGAACATGTGACCATCTCATCAGCAGCTAATGCTTTTTTTTAAATTGCCTGTTGAATATTAGGCTGCAGAGAGAAGTTTCACTGGAAATATTACATCAGAGCACATTCTAATGTCAGACTCATGGAATAGTCAGAATGACCAGAAAAATAAATAGATAAAAATCATAAAGTAATAAATTTAACCCTCACAATATTTTTCTCAAATAAGTTAATTTGTAAGCAAAAATTGCGACTGGCACGGTGACACCATGGTTAAAGCTGTAGCCTCTCAGAGAGAAAGTTGCAGGTTCGCCTCCCGGCCTGGGGTCTTTGTGTGTGGTGTTCACATGTCGGTGCCAAGAGATTTTCTCCAGGTACTCCGGTTTCCTCCCACAGACCAAAAACATGCATGTTAGATTCATTGGTAACTCTAAATTGTCTCTAGGTGTGAATAAAGTGGTTCTTCCTCTGTATGTGCTAGTGGTGTCCCGATAACTGTCATGGTATTGATATAGGGCCCAATACCGATACTAGTTCTGGTAACAGACCCGATAGCCAAATACTCTTACTTGTACTCATGAAAACACCACAATACCACCTTTATGGTTTGTGACATCATTTCCACTTTGCAACTAATAGAGTTTTTTTTTTAAATACAAAATGTCTGTTTGGGAATATTTTAAGGTGAACACTGATGACATGTTTATTATTTTTAATGTATTCAACCAGGTAAGTCTTGATGTTAAGACAACAGACTGCTGTGTGTTTTTTTTTTTTTAAGAAACCTGTTTGGAAAGTCACTGGGTCATATACTAACTCAATAACTTTTCTGTATTGGTACTCAGTATCTGCAAATATACAAACTGAAGTACTAGTACTTGTACACTGTCTGAAAGAAAAATAGTATCAGGACATACCCAGCTGTAACCTGGTGTAGCCTACCTCTCGCACAGTGACTGATGGAGATAGACACCAGCTCCCCATGACTCGGAGAGGAAAAGAGGGGAAAGAAAATGGATGGACAGATGGACGGACGGACGGACGGACAGTTGGATGGATGGACGGATGGTTGGATGGATGGATGCCAACTATCACATGTGTTTGTTTGCTTATAGAAAAAGTCCAAGGCAAAGAGATTGTGTTAAAGTACAAATACAGTTCAAGGATGAGGCTGAATGGGGTTCTGTAATGACATTGCAACATTACAAACAGTTTAGTCATAAATAATAACGGCATTGTTTCAGATTTCAGGTTTAAACCACCTAAACCATTGCCTGTTTTCATTACAAGCGCATAGCATAATATAGTATAGTAAAGTATAGTCAAGTATAGTATAGTATAGCAAAGTATAGTATAGCAAAGTATAGTATAGTATAGTATAGTATAGTATAGTATAGTATAGTATAGTATAGTATAGTATAGTATAGTATAGTATAGTCAAGTATAGTATAGTCAAGTATAGTATAGTATAGTCAAGTATAGTATGGTATGATATAGTATAGTATAGTATAGCATAGTATAGCATAGTATAGTACAGTATAGTATGATATAGTATTGTCAAGTATCGTATAGCATAGTGTAGTGTAGTATAGTATAGTATAGTATAGTATAGTATAGTATAGTATAGTATA